GCAATTGGCATATGGATGCATCCATAGGTGTAGAGGTAAGGTGCACCTTCAAATTTTATCATCATATATAATTTTGATGTAAAATGTTCTTATGATTATCCCAAAATCTATTTTAATATTTAAATATTTGTTGAGTTACAACTATAAAATGATCTATTGGGTGCAATTCGCGTATGGATTCATTCATAGGTTAAGAGGTAAGGTGCACCGTCAAATTTTATCATGATATATAATTTTGATGTAAAATATTCTTAAAATTATCACAAAATATATTTTTATATCTAAAAATTTGTTAAGTTACAATTATAAAATGATCTAATGGGTGCAATTGGCATATGGATGCATCCATAGGTGTAGAGGTAAGGTGCACCTTCAAATTTTATCATGATATATAATTTTGATGTAAAATGTTCTTAGGATTATCTCAAAATCTATTTTTATATCTCAAAATTATTTAAGTTACAACTATAAAATGCTCTATTAGGTGCAGTTAGAATATGGATGTATCCATAGCTGAAGTGGTAAGGTGCACCTTCAAATTTTATCATGATATATAATTTTGATGTAAAATGTTCTTAGGATTATCTCAAAATCTATTTTTATATCTAAAAATTTGTTGAGTTAGAATTAAAAAATGATCTATTGGGTGCAATTGGCATATGGATTCATTCATAGGTGTAGAGGTAAGGTGCACCGTCAAATTTTATCATGATATATAATTTTGATGTAAAATGTTCTTAGGATTATCTCAATCAAAGGATTTTTCAACATTAAAACTACCTTTTCTGTTGGATTTTTTAGGTACATTCGTAGTTCTACATTATAAGGTTGCATCCTTTTAGAAACGTTTTCAATAGATAAAATGATAAAACAATAATTCGGATGAGTGCACCTTCAAATTTTATCATGCTATATAATTTTGATGTAAAATGTGCTTAAGATTATCTCAAAATCTATTTTTATATCTAGTTATAAAATTTTAAATTTCAAAAATGGTTAAAATCACGTAGATCTATAAACATATGAAAATCTTGAAAATGAACATAACGGTGTAGATAATATATTGTAAAATGCTCTATTTCAAATACTTGAAATCTTTTTATTTTTCATAGTCATACATCTCGATTTCGAGTTGATCAATCAAAGGGTTTTTCAACATTAAAACTACCTTTTCCAATGGATTTTGGAGAGGCATTCGTAGTTTTACATTATGAGATAAATCTTTATATAAATTTTTTTCTATATATATATATATATATGAGTAATGATAGTTTAAGACGCTCTCATACCTACGTTAGTGTAATTTTAAAAGATTACTATTAAATACAGATCTCTAGACTTAGGGTAAATTCTCAAATATTTCTCAGTGGTGTTTTCTTAACGAGCTTGTGAATAGAAAATGCAATATAATGTCTTAAGATCAGATTACAACTTAGGTGCCAAGTCCATGTCCTCGTCCAGTTGAGGTCTAGGGCATCAGCACTACGAGGGTGCTCCTCGGACCCCTAATGTCTCAATAGGTGAGTCAAAACTCAGCCTCATGGGACTATGGTCAGAAATCTCAATCAGTATTCAAAAAGTTGGCCGACCTCTTTTGACTCGGCCGAGTTGCTTAGGCTTAGGCACCTTGCCAAGCTCGCTTGAGTTGTTCTGAGTTGGTAGTCCAACTCAGGGATCTTAAAAATTTAAAAATAAATTATTAAAAATCTCAAAAAATAAGAAATATATTTGTAAATTGTTTATTTATATTTTCTATCATTTTAGAAAAGATTAGAAAGTATTTTGTCCATGAATTCTTATTTTTACATTTTCTCTTGTTTCTTAGAAAATTTTGAAACTGCTCCGGTCACCAACTCATTTTTTAAAATCTATTTTGCCACTGTTTTTAACCACAATTAGATGTGTTTTGTTAAATTTTACTTTAAATATATTTTCCTATTTTTTGGTATATTTGTATTTTTATTTTTTAATAATTTTCGGCAGCGATAGTACTCGGTACTACACGTATATTTGCCAACTTTAGTATATAATAATATAGTTAGTTAGCTTGTGATAATTTTGGATGATTAAAGTGAATCAATAAATATTTGATACTTTAATGTGATATTACTTTCACTTTATATGAAACTTATTTTTTTAATCACATCATATGGAAGTATTTTTTTAATATTTTTATATTATTTTGATGTAATATTAAAATACTATATTACAATTAGTAATTATATAGACATCCAGATAGAAAGCAGCGACTCATTATTCACCTATTTCTACAAAGTAATGAAAATATATAATGCCCCACTCCTAATTTCTTTTAAAAACAAAAAATTGAAAATATACTTTTACATTTTTCCTTTTTTCACACTTTTTTATATAATTACAAAATTATTTTTTTATTTTTTCTCCATCAAAATAAGGAATTAGAAAATATTATACAAAAGGGTCCTAAGAAATAAGATTTCTTTGCGTATACATGATATCAAATTATTTGCACTTCCTTAATATATTTATTTCCCTAAAAATAAGGAATATGATACATTTTTATTTTCAATTTTTTGTTAAAAAAATTTATAATTTATGGAATAGATTTTGTCAATCATAATATTGAACAATGCTCTTTGACAAAATGAAGAAGGGATTATATACCATGAGCCCATTTACCTTTGATATACGGAGGTCACAATCACTTACAACTACCCGATATAGAATCTGAGAGCTTAGGTGTGTCACAAAGTTAGACAAAATCTTATTTTTCATAAATTTGAAAATATCCTACGTTTCTTAAAAGCATATGGTGTATTTTAATTTTATTCATTTCTCTATAGACACAATTAAGCTCAAATTTTGAACATACATACTTATGATCAGCAAACACCTCTTAAAAATTAAAATAAATAATTTGAAATCAATAAAATTTAACAAAATGCATTAAATTTATTAATTTTTGTTATTGAACTATTGTTTTTATAAATTTTCACATCTACATATAATCCCCCCCCCTCCCCCCCCCCCCCCCCCTTAAAAAAAACAAACGGAAAAGGAAAAGGAAAAAAAGTGCTCCATGTAACATATAAAAAATAAATTACAATACAATATATTATCTCAAAAAGTGGGACCATAAAAAGTTTCCATAAGGTTGCAACCCACCTAGGTCTACTTTTTACATCTATTGATATCCTTTTTGGCCCTTCTCCTTGCAATTTTAGGGTCTTCTACTTGAACCAAATTGCCCGTCCTAACCGGTGAATAGGTGTTGTATATGTGTTACACATGACTAACCCACCTAGGTCTACTTTTTCCTATCTTATAAATCAAAAATTAAAATAATTAATTATAAACTTATCTAACATTATTATAATAAATGAATTACACTATTAATCATAATTATTCAAAATAGCATAGAACTAAATTTTATTCAATTTTATATTTATAATTTTATAATTGTTGTAAAGTTACGATTATAATAATTATACTTATCGTATATTTATACACTTAAAATACATATGTATTAATATTAAGGAAAAGTATATAAAGAGAAAATTTTACTTTTGGTACAAAGAGGTCACAATCAATTTTATTCGCCAGATCTCAAATTAAGTGGTTGTAAGAGTGTCACCGACTATACTCAAAATTCAAATAAAACAAAAAATCTGGAATTTCGTGACATAACCCAATCATCCAATTTGACATCCAATAGCTAGCAGTAATCGGGACCTCCTTGTAAAAAAGTTAAACGGTCTCATAGTATACAATCCCTAAAATTAATCATAATATTAAAATTTAGTTATATGAAACCATAAGAATATATTTAATTATTACTTAGATGTATATTCGCTATTCTCTTATAAACTTTAAAAGATGGGCACTTACTGAAATATTTGAAAAATATTTATTATATCTATTGCTATTATAATAAATAATTTATTAATTATTGACATAAATTACAATGTAATCAATTTACTACATAGTTATCTATACTACATTATTAAACTAGAGCTAAGAGGTGGACACCTCACAAAAATAAAAGAAGACCCTATTTCTAGAGACCAGAGAGAATATAGGACACAGAGACTTTAGTATATATGAGATAAATATTCTCTTGCTAAAGATAATGTTGGGTAGAGTAATGCATTTTCTTCACTAATATAATGTAAACAGAAAGGGGTTAGAGAGCTATATATTTATCTTTAACATTTAGTCTTTATCTTTTTATTGTATGATAAAATGGATTGAAATATTATTTTTTAAGAAAATCACCCCACGTATGAAAAGGGTGGCTACTTCTAATTTCTTGATGATAATTTTTATAGAATTCCTAAAATCTTGAAAAAAGGTCGCTACTTCTAATTTCTTGATGATAATTTCCATAAAATTCCTAAAATCTTGGAAGTGATAATTTCCATAAAATTCCTAAAATCTTGGAAAAAGAGAGACCTACTGTATGATATTTCCTTTCTTAAACCCCTCATTTTCTCCCTGCAGAGATATTCTAAACCCAAAATTTTCCTTTGGCATGTAGCTTAATATTCTAACTTAAAATTATCAAGACCTTATAGTAGTCTAGAGAAATCCAAGTTTTAGTGGACTGTGTCATGTGGAATTCCTTTAAATCAAATCAATACTAGATAAAGCACTAAAGCCTAGTTAGTTTTTAACTTTTTATTGGAACGCTATGGTTGTAAAACAAATTAAAAGATAGATAAAGAGAGAGAAGCTAGAAAAGCGAGATAAAGAACCATCAATTAAAATTATAATGAAAATTATAATGCATCATAAATTACATTCAAAGTTCCCCTACAATTTCAACTCAAATAGAACATAAAAAAGCAACCAACTCAAAAGTGTGCAGTCCCTTGCACAACTCAAACAATCATTAGCTGATAAGTCTAATCAAGCCCAACTCAGACAACCATAATATATGTGTCTAACCACAAGAACCACCAAACCATGTTGAAAACTATGGTGCGTCAAGTGATGAAAGATGCCTTCTTCTCTTTGCACTTTGGACATGATTGAGCAAGGCTACTCTTCTTTTTACCACCTTTTACTTTCTTACCATCATCATAGTCGAAAGATAATAAAGTGGGTTTGTAGGATAGATAATCACCGTGACATAATCCCTCCTCACGTGGTAACAAGACATTCAGCCTTCCACTCTCAATCCCGTAACTTACTATTTTATTACCATAAACTATCAATATATCATTCCCAACCACAACCTTTGGATATATATAACCATACTCATATCTACTTTTGAGCCCCCATTCCCCCAAATTTGCATCCACCACCTTCTCCCATGTCTTTCCTTTTCTTAAAGCCCACAACCTTAGTTCCAAATTATGGCTGGCAACTGCCATTGAAATACAACCATCCCATTCCATCACCCCAACATGATCATTACACTCTGTTTGTGGTGGTGCTGGTATGATATGTAACTCCTCTTTCACCATGTCGAAAGCAATCAGATCTAGGGTGTTGACGCGGTCATATATGTAACATGTGTGTCCGATGGATTTGATTTCCCGCAAGCTGAAGATTAGAGCTTCGCTTGGCTCTACCCATTTCCCAATTGTTGAGTCGAAGACCACGTGAATTTCGATAAAAAGTACTGCCAATACCTTGAATTTGCAATTTTGGGGGTCGAAATAGAATCCAAAATGCACTATAGGCGGCCCATGAATATGTGGAAGGCGAGTGGATTGGCCGGTTGCAGGGTTGACAATGCAGAAGGCATCTTTGTTTATTAATATGCAAAGTATGCCATTGCTGCATTTTATTTTTCTTGGCATCCACGAAGAGCTATGGGGTAGTTCAGATAATTGCATGATGTGTTCGTGGTGTTTCAAGGAAATAGTGAAAATAGGAGACTTTTTGTGGAAGAATGGATGGAAGAGTACAAAAGGTTGGGAGGCAGAATGAGGAGTGAGAGAGTGGAGGTATAGAAAGCAATGAGAGGAAAAGAGGTTATACCAAGATTTGGAAACCCTCTTGAAATTAAGGATGGAAGGTTCAGGCAACTCCACTAGGATTTCTTCTAATAACTCATCGGGCAACTTGTCACATAGAGAACCCATCTTTTGATAACAAAAACATGTGCATGTTAACCTGTTAGTATAGAGAATGAACAAAACAACTATATAGGAGAGAGAGAGGATGTAATTTAGAGAAGAAAGCTAACATAATCTAGAGAGAGTGTGTGTGATTTAGAGAGAGGGAGGTGTAATTTGGAGAAGAGAGCTAATGTAATCTGGAGTGAGTGTGATTTAGAGAGCGAGAAAGAGTTCATGTAATTTAGAGAGATAGAGCTAATGTAATTTAGAGAAAGGGAGAGAGAGTTGTTGTAATTTAGAGAAAAAGAGCTAATGTCATTGAGAGAGAGAGTGAGTTAAGATCTCACAATATCTCTTGTCACACCCAAAATTAAATTAAGAAGAACAAGATAAAAACAAATTTTTCTGGTTAAGCAATTACACAAAGAAACAGTTGAAAAGGAAAAGGCAGTATTTACACGATTTTAGCATGGATTAATTTAGAGAGAAGAGCTAATGTAATTTAGAGAGAGTTGTTGTAATTTAGAGAAAAAGAGCTAATGTAATTGAGAGAGAGAGCTAATATCTTACAATATCTCTCTCTCACACCCAAAATTAAATTATGAAGAACATGATAAAAACATATTTTTCTGGTTAAACAATTACGCAAAGAAACACTTGAAAAGGCAGTATTTACATGATTTCAGCATGGATCGAAACAACAAAGAGAAAATGCAAAACACATTATCTTAATAATCTTAAACTTTTTTTTCTGAACGGTAATAATAATCTTGAACTTGTGAAGAACTAAGAAGAAAAAAAGCATAACTCCATACATACTGAGAGAGAACCACCCCAAGAAACACTAATGGCGTATGAATGAATAGAAACATAAAGGATTGATTATAAAGTGATAAACTCAATAACAGAAAAACATAATTAAGATGAAATAGAACCAATGGATTATAAAGTGATGAACTCAAACAAGAAAAACAGAATTAAGATGAAAAAGAACCAAAGCTACAAGAACTCACCTATGCAAAACTTTTCTTATGTCTCTATTGGTTTCTCTAAATTCTTTTATGACTTCTTTCTCTCTCTCGAAATTCTTGTATGACTTATTTATAAGAAAAAGAAGAAAAAACGGGTACTCTTGTTTATAAATTTGGTTGATCTTGATCTTACCCCTAATAAGATATGAGTTGGACTTTTATTTTCATCTGAGTTCCAGAGTTAATTGAACACTAGAAATCTTGGAAAGAGTTAATTGAAAGTTAACGAAAACTTGAAATCTTGGAAAGAGTTAATTGAAACTTAACTCTGAGTTATGAGATTGAGTTCTAGAGAGAGAAAGAGAGAGAGAGTTAATTGAAAACTTTAATTGAAACTTACATCTGAGAGATTTGAATGGAAAACTTTAGCGTCTAGGGTTTTCTGATCCTCTGAAAGATCCTCTGGCTGAAGAGGGGAGAGTTTTGATTGCAAGGTCCTCGCTTCCCTAACAAAGAGAGAGATTTTCTATAGCTCAACTAGATAATTACGAATATAGCTCAACTACATAAATAAAGGGCAATCTTTCTATACTTCCTCTATAGCATAAAACTTTTATACTTTTCTCTATCGAACCGAACCGTTCATTATGAATGGATGGCCAAGGTTTTCCCTACAGCATAAAACTTATATACTTCTCTTTATCGAATCGTTCAAAATGGAGGGCCAAGGTTGTCCCAATTACAATCTCATGCCTTTACACTGTTTTATTTTTATTAACGAGTAATACTAAAACAATATTTTCAATAAAATAAAATGACCAAAATACTTTTGAAAGTTTTAAGAGGTATTTTGGTCATTATATTTTATTGAAAATTTATTTTTATGGTAAGAGAAGTATAAATCTTCTATGTTATAGGGGAAGTATAGACACCCTTCCCAAAAATAAGGGATAAAAACGACTCCCATGGTAAGAGATGATAGGGTAAGGAGTCCTAAACAAACTTAGAAAGGGTCAACGAGATAAATACAAATATAAAATTAAAAGGTAGAGACATGTTGGAAAATATGTGGAAAAATGAGAGAAAAATGTTTAGAGATATATCTATTATTTCAAATAAGAGATGATAGGGTAAGGAGGCCTAGATAAACTTAGAAAAGGCTCACCAAGATAAATACGAATATAAAATTAAAAGGTAGAGAAAAATATGAGGAAAAATAAGAGAAAAATGTTTGGACGTATATCTATTACTTGAAATAATTTTCTAATACTTGCTCACTTAAATAAAAGATAAAGGATAGATACATGCAAGCCCCACCTATATGTGCAAGTCAAAATTATTTCCAAATTTTTTAATTCATACCTCCAACTAAAATTTAGAAATGGATGAGCCTCCCAAAATTATTTCCTATTTTTTAGTTCAAACCTCCTAAAATTGATACCTACTGGATTTTGCCCATTTTTTTAATATTCTAAAATCAATCTATCATATTGGTGAAGGTAATCTCTCACACACAATCCCTGCGTACGATCTCTCTCTCTCTCTAAGTTCGTGGGTGGGAAATATCCCCCTATTTATTGTCACTATACAAAATTGGTAGATAAATAATACCAATATTACATTTATATAATATTATGGTTCATTAATAATAACCAACATGATTAAAGTTAATTATTTACATGATGTTAGTTCTTTGTATTTTGTAATTAATATTTACAGAGCTATGAGTAATATATTAATTATGTAATAAATAATCATAGTCGTAGTTGATATTATAACTGTGTTATACGCACTTATATGTAATTATATTTTAATAAGTATAAGATTACCATGGTTTTTTTTATTATAATTATGATTGGATTTTAAGATTATAAAAGATTAAGTGAAATATTGATAATCTACATTATAATTTTATGTTGATAATTATTACGGCTCTACCCAATAGTTCTCTATCAACTTAGGTTTGTTTCTCTCTCTTTCTTCTCCTATTCCTATTGAGAGTAGGTGTTCTAATCAACTTAAGAATGGATATCTCTCTCCTTTCTCTCTCTAAAATTTATATTTTAAACATGGATGGAGTGCATTATCTATAGCCCTGAAACGTAACTCTCAAGATCAGATCGAGTCTACTTTTAACAAAGAGAAGAGATTCCAACCTTTTCAAACAATTATATAACCAGTTCAAGACTCCAGGTATTGTACCTCACCCCCTTTTATCTTATTTGTTTTTCCTTTTTTTTTTTTCTTCTTTTTATTATATAGATTACCCTTTTCCTTCTTTTTTTTTTTTTTTTAATGTTATGTTTTCCTGTTTATTTTGTTTTTACATTATTGTTGGTAACTTTTGTACATGCTTTCTGTAGTTTTCATTTCTTTTTTACTTTTTTTATTTTGATTATGGAAAAAACTTTCTTGTCTATCTGTTGTGGTGCCCGTAGAAAACTTTCCCACCATTTATTTTTTTATTGTTTTTTGATGGCTATAGAAATTTTGGTTATAGAACCAGACAGTCCCAATATGGATGGGTTTGGATCGGGACTGGTTCGGTAAGCCGGGTCATTGGGGACTCGGAAGCCCATTATTGCCTGATTCCACTGGTTTTCAATTTTTTAATTTTAGTTGTATGTATATATCAATATGGATGGGTGAATTTCCGATTTGGATTGGTGAATCGAGGATTACTGCAGACAAAAACAAGTGTTTGAGGTGAACTATTTTTTGGTATGGCAGACAACAATGCACTCGAAAAGGAAACCACCCGGATATAGATCCGGGTATATTGACCTATTATCCCTAAGAGATTAACAATTTAATTTCAAAATACTCATAAAAAAAAAGATTACCTTGAGTTGGAATAATAGATAGAATAATAGATAGAATGTTAAATAGTTTATCTCTAATGGATATTTTGATAGATTTTTTTTTATTTTATTATTTAAGTTCAATATAACTTTTCCCCAAAGAACCAGATAAGGTATTCACATAGTCCCTAGCATGATATAGTATTGTATATCTACATCAAGTACTCTCTTATGTTCCTTACCTTTTTATTAATTATTATTGTTTTATATATATATATATATCTCTATATATATATATATATATAACCCTCTCACACCCATATAAATATAACTTATTACTATTAAATACATATCTCTAAAAAAAATTATCTTTAAACCCATTTACCCAATTAATTTGACACATCTCTAGATAGAAAAGTTATCTATAAACCCAATTTGAGTTATCAATAAACTCATTCACCTTGAGAAGCATAAGAGAGTTCTTGCTTATTGGCTTCATTGAAAACCAGTCTGGAGATTGATACCCTCTCTTACCCGGGCTGGTGATTGAATTTCAGAGAGAGAAAGAAGAGAGAGGTTTGAGAGAGAAGAAATCAATGGAGGATAGGTGCTTAGATGAGGTTCTCGGCTTGAGCAGAAGCTGCCCTCAAGAAGAAATTCGGTCGGCTTACAAACGCTTAGCTCTGCAACTCCACCCCGACAAGATTCCGGTGTCTCAGAAGAGGTGGCGACTACTCGCTTTCAGGAGCTCAGCAATGCCTAACAAGTCTTGTCAGGCCCCAAACAACAATCGGGTTACGACTTTCATTACATCCCCCTCCCAACCCTCTTCTCTCCTCCAAACCCTAACCCTAACACTACTTCGGAAGCAGAGCACTTCGTCGAAACCCTAAATCTCTCCTCCTTCCTCTGTGACTCAAAGTACTCGGGTTTCACTGATACACATGCGGGCTTTTACAAAGTTTATGGTGATTTGTTCGGTAAAATCCAAAAAAACGAAGAGATCTATAACATGCATAAGAGTGATGGCATGTTGGTTGGCAAGCCAGCCCCATTGTTGGGGAATTTGCAGTTGCAGAGCTCTTATTCTCGGGTATCAAATTTTTACCATTACTGGACACGATTTGCGACTGTAATGGATTTTTCTTGGGTTGATCAACACGGGGTTTCAGAGGGTGATAACAGGAAGAAGACTCGAAACCATTACAACGAAACAGTTCGTTGTGTCACCGAATTTGTGGGGATCAGAGATGAAAGGATGGAAAGGCAGAAACTGCAGGCAGAGAAATGGGTCAGAAAGAGGCAGAAGAAATGTTCAGAAAGAAAGAGAAAGATAGAGAGAGGTTTGAGAGAGCAAGACCTTTACAGTGGGCAAGAGAGTTGATGAGAGAGAAAGAGTGGGCTTAGAGAGAGAGCCCAAGTAGACCCCCTCACCTTCTCCATTTTGTTTTATTGTAAAAACAATATCACGCTTCTACAGTTTAAGGTTGCAATCTCACATAATTTTATTTTATTTTTGTTTGATGATTTAGTGTATAAACAATTTGGCGCCTACCATAGAGCCCAACATCCATCCTAAGGGTTCAGTCAGAAGTCTTACTGGGGCCATCCTCAGGGACCATTTTTGCTTTTTTGCCCATTTTTCTACCTATTTCTTTATTTTCTTGCCTTTATTCCCATTTTATGCTTTTTTATCATGTCCAAAAGCAAGCCTGAGGGTCTTATCTCAGGGGCTGCTAGTTGCAGGAAGTGGCAAAGAATTGCAATCCAAAGAGGTGAACCTGCATTTAGCAATGCCTGGCATTGCACAATGCAGCCGCTAAGTACGCATCAAGCGTAGCGAAAACACGACCGGCCCTAGCCCCTCCAAGGTAGGGGTAGCAATGGACCCGGACCTGAGGGGTAGACCCGTCGGGATAGTTTGATTTGATAAACTCAGCACCACATTCATAAACTGTTCTGTTTTACACCTTAGCATGCAGCACGACAACCATTTCAAATTTTCAAAACCGCCCAAACTGGGGATGAAGTCGTGAATGGTACCTTGCTCCTAGAGTTGGACAATCAAATGGAGAACCTCTCTGATATTCCTACCTTTAAGACTGCACTTCAAACCTCCATAGCTAAGAAACCCCACCTGCAACCTTATCCTTACAAACTAAAAGTAAATTCTCAAATATTTCTCAGTGGTGTTTTCCTAGCGAGCTTGTGAATGGGAAATATCGACTCGGCTCAAGCGAGCTTTGCAGCGCCTTGACCAAGATGACATTCAATATCTTGTACCCATGTTCCTATATCGGCTAATGGTATGTAATTTCCTATTTGATAATACGGAGAAAGTGGAGAAAACTAAGATCAACCCATCAGCTGATGGAATAATATAAGTCTAACATCCCAGATTGAATATGAGTCAATCTGAAGATCATGATGTCATTTCATAATATAATTTTAATATTTTTATATAAATTCAAATAACATGATATTTTAGACATCCACTCTTCCCGTCAAGGTGCACTGGATTTTTTTTTATATTTTTATTACATTCTAAAAAAAATATAAATAATAGACACTCCAAATTTCAAATGATTTGAATTTGTACAAAAAAAAAAAACTCAAATTCAAATACGAAATGCAATCGTTATCATTGATCGGTCCAAATTCAATCTGGATCATTGGACTTATACTATTCTATCAGTCCATTCTATCAATCAATGGACTGACAGTAGCTTTTTCCGGAAAAAAAATATCATATCTATAAGCAAAGGGACATTACCAGAAAGAATATCGCATCTATAAGCAAGGGGGCATGGCCTAGAAGTAGCCTGATGACCACCGCCTTCCCGGGCCTTATTCGTTGTGCGCGAGCTATTTTTTTACAGGCTCATACTGGTATAGTGAAGGATCTCTCTTCTTTAATACATAACCAACCTCAAATCTCTTTCCTTAAGAAGAGGTAGGTATACTCCCATTTCAAATTAGAGAGCAAGCCCGGGCATTGTATGGAACCAATGGAAGAATTCCATACCAAAAACACTTCACACTCCCAAACGAAACAAAGAAAAGTACAATACAAAAAGAAAACATATAGACAAGGAAAAAATTCATTAAAAGCCGTTTTTTGATGTTGAAAAACCTTGAATTCGATCATCTCGACTTCAAGATGTATGGACGTGAAAAAAACAAAAAAATTTCAAGTCTTACAAATATTGCAATTTATAATGTATTATTTAAACCGTCAATTTTCAATATTCATAGATCTGCTCGATCTATATTATTTTTTAACTTTAAAATTTATAATTAAAAATAAAAATAAATTTTCAAGCCATTATAAAGATTTTTTATATTGAAACAACATATTTCGACACCATTTGAAGGTGTGCCCCACTTTGATTGTTTAAGGCTTCGCCTTATACAAACCACACGCTTTAGACAATTGAACAAGTACTTTCATGTCATGGAATTCATTTTTGGAAATTTTCAAAAGCTAAAAGCTCACGACTACTGAGCAGTTATCTAAATATCTGCATCAATAACCATATAACAAAAAGTCAAAAAACATTTTTGAGTGTTTCACATTTTTCATGAACTATATAGTGTACATACATGCAACCTGCTTGGCATGAATCACCAATGATTTTGGGTACAACTCTGCTGTGTTTAGCTAACTTCCCATATCACACACTCTAGACCACAATATCAAAAAGATCGATGCCCCTCGTTCTCAGTTATGCACCAGCCAAGAAACTTGTTCTTCAAATGAAGGGAACCCAAGGCAGATTTCAGAAAAGCAAAGCAGGGAAAAACAAAAAAACAAAAAGAATAAATTAAGAAATGCCTAATTGACCTTGACATCACCGGTAGCAAAACTATCATTTTTCCAACAGCATGCACATCACCAGGGGCAAAACCATCATTCATTCAAAGTCATGCATCCTTCTTTGAGCCTCCTAACTGCCTCTGATGCCGTCTCCACTCTGGCATCCTCCCAGGAAATGCCCACCTCAGGAACCGCTCCCAAGCATAACAACTCGCTATCATGAGTCCTGCCCAAATCAATAATTTGGACCCAAATGGCTGAGGAAGCGGAACAAGCTTCAACGCATCATTCAAGCTTCGAATCAAGTCGGAGGTGACCAAAGTGAAGAACACAACAGCCCCAAAGAGTGCATAGAAGAAGGGCTTATTCTCACGTACACTCTGGTTAAACGGGTGCCCCATATAGTTGACCCCAAAGGTCGCGACCTGAATCATCATGTTCGCCATGTAAGAAACAGTGTTCACAATGTTGGGGTGGAAATCTGAATCAGGCTCGATGCACTCCTCAGGCATGTATTTCTCTGCCGCTTTCACTGAAGAGATGAGGAAAGTCAAGTGGATTGCAAACTGGCCAAGGAGCGAGAGACACATGTAAGAAGAGAAGATGTTAGGGTGTGGCCGCTCAGAAGAGAGAGTAGGAAGGGGTCGAGCATGAGAGATGAAGAGGAAGAAAGCAGCGGTAAAGACGCCACTTATTGTTGCCTGAACGTCGCCCAGCTTGACGCCATCAAGGTACATGACACTGAGAACATAGGCAGTGGCGAGGCAGTTGAGGCCGAGGATCTTGAACATTTGGAGTGTGGTAACAAGCGTGCTCCTCCCCTGGCGTATGATGTCGAGAGTTGGGGAGACAGATGCATGCTTCGCAGTGAAGGGAGAGGCCATGGAGGCATCACCGAGGCGAACAATTGGTGGGGCCCGCCCATCACCTTCCTCATTCATTTCTTCTAGAAGCTTCTTCAGCTTGAGCTGCTGCCTCTCAGCTGCGGTCATAGGGCGATTGGTTGAAGATGAACTAGAATCCGTTCGGGTTAAGCGGGTCTGTGTCCTGGTTCTGGTTTGCTCAGGATCCCCATTTTCACGGGAGGTTGATAATTCAGTTCCTGCTCTAGGTTTCTTGGGTTTTCCAAGCTTTGAGTCTGAGGGCTTGGAGGCTTGAGAAGAAGGACCATTCGATTGAGATGGGGGTATTGCGTTAAGAAGGGCAACACCGACATGGGCCTGCAAAATATTTTTTTATTAGCTTCAAGGAAATATATCAAATCCTCTTGAGAGATGTACTCTTGAACACGTCTGCCATTTTTTGGTTCTAATTTCAAAAAACTCTGAAGGGACAATCCCGTAATGGGTAAACAAGGGGTTATAAGTTGTTGGAAAATTACCATGACGTACCACCCATGCACTAAGCACCAATATGTCACTAGGAAAATTACCAGACTTGGTACTTTCAAAGGCCATCTTTCACATTAAATAATGATGTTCCAAACACCAATATCTCACTTTAAATACCCTATGAGAAATTGGTATTTTTTATCACCAATATCATACTAAATAAGCCACCCCATGAGATACTGCTGTTTCCCTACACCAATATCTCACTATGTCATCAGTGAGATGTTGGGATTTATGAATTTATGCACTACCAACATCTAATAAAGTGTTTGGAGTGACATATTGGTAATAAAAAATACCACCATCTCACATGGGTAGGTTTGCCTAAAAATGGGAGCAACATTGGAGACTGCCCCTACGTCAACATGTGAGCCCTAGTGACGTGACCTTGATACCATTTTTGAAAGTAGGACAAAGGCACTGGGTGAAATATTAAATAATTTAATCTCTTGGGTAAGGTTTGATAAATTTCCCTTAGTTTTTTTGTATAACAAAAGCAGGCACCTTCAAGCAGAATCAAAAAGCAACTTTGTATTTTAAGTTTAAAAGCTTCAACTAAGAGCAACTTCGTATTTTAAGTTTAAAAGCTTCAACTAAGAATGACTGAGTACGACTCCATAAAGACTCGAACAATCTAAGAAGGGGAGAATTCAATATACTGGGAAATATGATCTCAGCTAGTCCTCAAGGTGATTTATGACTGAGTTTTTTAGGTTTTTCTGAAAGAAGGATGACTGCCTGGATTTTTTACTCATTGCCACGATTTTTGTTTCTTCCCAGGAAGACCTAGTCACCGTGTCTTGAGTTTTTTTTTTTTTATAAATGTGTTTACTTTTGTATTAAGATAGAAATTACATAATTATCTAGGTTAATATATGGGACTTCATCCTTAGATTTCGTGTTTGAGGTTTGTGATAAACCTTGTCAAGTTAGTTATTCTTGAATGTTAAGACTGTTAAGTTGAACCAAACCCAATTTTTGAATGCACCCACCCTAAAAAGAAAATGTAACCTGTTATGTTTGCCGGAAAATATGTTTTAAGGTATTGTGGGCGACTCCAGAGAGAGAGAGAGAGAGAGAGATGGATACACTTCAAAAGAAAAAGATGCAAAAGAAATTAAAAAGAGTGTAAAAAATTAGAGAGTTTTCACAATGAGGTACAATAGAGTGAATGAAGGAAAGAGATAAATTTCGGGTCCCTAAAGCAATACTGATCAATGGGAAGAGAGAAAATGTGTTATGATCAAACAAATTTTTGCAAATTTTTACAATGCAATCGATTGATCCCGTCTAGGACTCCAAGACTCCAGAGAGAGAGAGGCGCAAAGGAAGATGGAGAAAAAGAGGAGTGAAACGAGAAAGGGACTTGCGCATCCTTATGGATTTTGTTTAGGACAAAAAACTAGTGCCAAATGAAGAACGTTTGGGTGATACCCATTCAGGGGGTTAGAAGATACGAAAGTGAGAAACTTAATGCCGCAATAAAGTTTTCAAAATTCAGGGTTTATGGAGAAATCATACACCAAATTAGGGTGTACGAAGAAATTTCCCCTATTTCTTTTTGGTCCGAGACTAAAAGATTCAGTTTAAGGTAGAATGACATAACCAACCTGCTTTAGAGCACCAACATCATTAGTCCCATCTCCACACATCAGCGTCATCCTTCCTACTGACTTGAGTGTAGTCAATATAAGCTCCTTCTGATCTGGAGCAACCCTTGCAAACACCTGAAAAGATTAGGAAGGCTTTATCATAAGCTCAAAAAACACAACCAAACAGATTCTGACAGGTTTATGGATACTAACCTTGACATAAGGGATGACTTGGAGAACAACCAAACAGATTCTGACACGTTTATGGATACTAACCTTGACATAAGGAATGACTTGGAGAACTGCAGAAGTTTGCTGTATCAACCCAAAGCAGTCACCACCTACACAAAGATCATGGGATTCTGCTAATGCATCCACCTCATCAGGACTGCATAAAAGAAGGGTTCCCTACTCGTGAGAAGTTATAAAAGCAACTAAGAATTAAAGAGATGCAAATATTAACGTGACCTAAGAACGACATCCTCCTTGGCACTAGGTAAAGAGCTAGAAGCTTTCCAAGCACAGAAAATGGTACTACAGGTTTTTCAACAGCATGGCAAGGATAAAATCAAGGCTTTCTGAACCCAAAACGAAATGGTGCAATGCATTCCTGGGCAGCATGGGTGACCATGACAAACAGAAACAGTCATGATCTTCATGTATAAGTCACACAACATGGAACTCCATTGTATTTACAACCCTATTAGAAAGCCAAATGAACAAAAGAATGTAGCATTCTATACATTGAGCTACAGGATGTCTGTGTGTGTGTGTGTGTGTTAGGAAAACTAGAGAAAAGAACACACATATATACAGACAAGCACACGCACGCACGCACGCACACATACAAAAAGGCCTACACACACAGGCAAAAATGCACGAGTGCCCACACACACACGAGGAAAACTTGAGAAAAGCAAAGACACAGACACATGCACGCACAAACACACACACTAGATATGTGTCTGTATGTGTGTAGGGGTGTGAAGAAACTAAAGAAAAGCAAAGACAAGCTAAACACTGGGCCAAAAGTCAACAAAGTATTGCAGAAACATTTCTTTCATTCTTCAAACCTCACCGGTAAGGAAAACTTGAGAAAAGCAAAGATCCACATAGACACATGCACGCACAAACACACACACACTAGATATGTGTGTGTGTGTGTGTGGGGGTGTGAAGAAAACTAAAGAAAAGCAAAGACAGGCTAAACACCGGGCCAAAAGTCAACAAAGTATTGCAGAAACATTTCTGTCAATTCTTCAAAACTCACCGGTAAGGATTAGTCACAGTCTCATCTGGAGAAATCCATTCATACCCATCCCCATTTTTTGTTGCAGTAAGAATCAATGTTGGCTTGGAAATGATATGAACTTGGCTTGCGACATGGCAAGCAGTCAAAGATTGATCACCAGTAATCATGACCTTCAAAAGAGGGCAGTAAATATGAGGAGAGGCACATATAGATATACAATGAAGTTGAAACACGCGAGTATGACATTTACCAAGTCATGAGATGATCCTTTCAATTCAGAAAGAACTCTGGCAGAGTCAGGCCTGATGGGGCAGTTAAAGACCTGATGACCAGAATTCAGAAGTGACTCATAGTGAGAGTGATATACAAATATCACCAAAATCCTAGATATGCTACATAAGAAACAAATATGCTGAAAAGGGAAAGATAACAAAGAAAAGAGAGGATAACAAGCTGCAACTAGACTACCAGAATGGAAAACGTGGTGAAATATTTTCAAACATGTACTCACTGCAAATCCAGTAAAAATCAGATTGTTTTCCACAACATCTCTGTCCAAGCCCCTGGCTTCACTAACCTGTAATTTTATTTCAACAAACATAAGTCAGGTAAGGGACAAGATTTCATGATTACAAGAGGCATGTAAACAGAGACTGTATTGTCTTGAATCTACCAGTGAAGCACCTATAGGAAGAAACACAATTAACTGATTTGCCAAAGGGCAAAAATGAGAAAAAAATGCAGCATGCTTTTCATACTTACAAAGAAAAAGGGATAAATACAATAACAATACTTATTTTCTGTCAAAGTTGACTCTTTTAGCAGCTAGATCTACTTATTTGCCGCAAATGTCTCAGAACATTTTTCATTTTTCTCCATAGCGCTTGCCAAGGCACAGTGAAGGTATGGAGAGCTAATGAGATTTTTATATTTTCAGAAGTTTTAGCAGTCTACAGGATTTTTCTTTTTTCCACATGTCAGCTCTTTATCTTGTCCCTCTCAAGTTAATGATGTTTCTACAATAATGTGCAGAAATCGATCAAATTTCATGTTTAAAACAAAAAATCCAAACCAAATTTCAATTATTTTGGTGGAGATTCAATAATGTTGTTGAACTATTCAAATTGACATCATTCCCAGACTTTTTGTGAACAATATTACAAGAAGATATCCACTTCTTCCTGTCATTCTCATGTTCATGTTGTGTTCTATAGACCTAATTGCCAACTTTCCCTAGTGTAGAAGTAGAAAGCTGGGGAATCGAATGTTTTACAATCATGCTTCCTAGTTTAACATCCTTTGCAATGCAAATCTGTCAATGAGTAAAATTTTAGATAGTTGCATTATGAAACATTGCTAGGTCCTGAGGTAAAACTCAAATAAATTCATTTGAGTATGAAATACAGAATGACGACAATACTCCAGCCACTACCTTGTGCCTATTCTAGAACCGATTCAATCATCAAGCACAACCTTAGCTGCAGAAGAAATAGGCAGCAATAAGACACTGGAGCCCATTTCAATGAACTTCAACAAGATAAGAGTTTTATGAGATCAGCAAAATATAATTTGACCCCCAAGTTTTATGGGAAAAGTTCGCCTATACTTCAGTCTTTCTAAAGCATGGTTACGTCTAACTTTTTATGCGACTGAGATTGAGTATTGGAAAATCAGCTCTCCACAACTAGATACAAGCGGTGAGGCATTGATTAAGCACCTGTCAATCTTAGGAAGCACTGGCGTTGATTAAATAGTTGCCAATCTCAGAGATCAAGGGCATGTCTATATCTTTGTTCTCTTAAGGAAGCTTTTAGTGAATTTCCCGAGACTTCTCATTCTCTAACTACTTATTGGTTATTAGGTTAAGAAGACCCATAGTTATCTACCGAAATGAGGCAGGTGTTTTTTTTAAAAAAAAAAAATTGAGATAAGCATTATGGTCATTTGTGTATGAAGGGATTTTAGGGGTGAAGTGGAGGACCTCCCCACCACCTACCCTGGCTTACCCTTGGGCTTGGGAAAATCAAAGAGATAGTGGTCCCATGTAATTGACAAAGTAGATAGACGTCTAGTAGGATGGAAAGGGAGGTACCTATCCCTCACAGGCCAGACCATGCTTGTCAAAGCTACACTGGCAAACTCTTCGGTCTATATAATGTCATTATTCCACATGCCTGTCTCGGTGGCCAATCGTCTCGACCAACTAATGAGGAATTTTCTTTGGTCAGGACAAGTTGAGAAAACTAAATTCCACCTCATCTCTTGGGACAAGGTCTGCCTTCCTAAAATTCAGGGAGGGCTGAGGATCAGGATCCTCAGAAAACATAACCTTGCTCTCCTAGGGAACTGGTGGTGTAGACTGGCCACCCATAACAACTCTCTTCAGGCACAGGTCCTTCGTAGCAAATATAGAGTCCCGGAAGATGCTTGGGTGCCCGAGGGGAGATCGATGAATAGGGCCTCAGGCGCGTGGAAGTCATTCGTGTCCTCCCTCTCTTTGTTCAAGAATTCATCCGCCTCCATTCCAGAGGGGCTACAAAAGTAAGGTTCTGGTCAGACCTGTGGCTAGGCCATACTTCTCTTAGGGACCTCTTCCCCTCCCTCTACTCTCTTGCCTCTAACAAAGCCTCCACCATCGCAGAGGAAATGGTCGTCTCCGGGGGCCGCAGACTCTGGAGTCCCTTTAGATGACATCTAATAGAAGAGGAAACTGGCCTTTTCTTAACCCTCTCGACTTCTCTTCGTTCCAACTTCATAGCTCTATCAGGAAGGGACTCTCTGGTTTGGACCCTCTCCCCTTCAAGCTCATTTTCGATGGCCTCTTTCTACAAAAAAATTATTCAGCCACCCACTTTCCCACTCAACCCTGTGTCGGTACTTTCAAAGGTCTAGTCCACCATCACCCAGCCTAAAGTGCAAGCATTCAACTGGATTGCTTGCTCTCAAAGAGTTCTCACAGTGGACCAGCTTCAAAGAAAAGGGATCTCGATCCTCAGCAAGTGCGTACTGTGCCTGTGTGAGGAGGAATCTAACACCTGTTCATTCACCTGTTCATTCACTGTTCGGAACTCCACACTCTATCCCAGCTCTTATCTCTTTGTCTCACGTCTCTCATTGGCCGAAAGCTGGAAGAATCCTGTGGAAGGCAGCTATCGCAGCCACTATCTGGGTTATTTGGCTAGAAAGGAACTCCAGGATTTTCCAAGGACTCAAGAATGAAGTTCCAGAACTCTTCCATAAGGTTACTTCCCTAGTAATCTTTTAGGCCTCTAATCGCATGGCCTTTAACAGGATATCAGCTAACACTTTCCTCAGCCAATGGGAAAGTATCCTTAAGCTCCAACCACACAAGGTATCAAGACCCAACAATTGGATGCCTCCACCGGAAGACACCATCAAGCTCAATTTTGATGGTTGCTCCCTAGGGAACCCAGGCCCAACAGGCGCCAGAGGTGTCTACCAAGACCATCGCGGCAATGTCCTGGCCACCTATTCTGAGCCTTTAGGCCATGAAGATTCTCAATGTGTTGAATCCATGGCTCTGCTCTTAGGGCTTAAAAGATTCAATTTTTCTTGAGGATCACAATTGTTTGTGGAGGGGGATACTCAAAATATCATTTCTTGGGCCGCTGGGACTTCACCACCTCCGTGGTACTTATCCTTAATATTTGATGAAATTGCTTACACCTGCAGGGATATGATCATCTCATGGAAGCATATCTGAAGGACGTCGAACAAGTTCGCAAATCTTCTAGCTAAGGACAGACTTAGGGCCCAAGTAAATGCTCTTGCCTTAACGCAACTTTTCGATGTTTTGCTCAAACTTTGTCGCTGGTCCATCTCCTTTTTTGCTCTGGACCACCATGGGTGCATTGTATTTTGTTTTGTTTAGCACTTTGTTTGTAATCGGGTGAGTCTATAAGCGTCAATTTTTTGTATTGGGTCATTGTGTTCTGACTTATTTTTTGTTGGAGAGACCCTGTCTATGGGTGCTCTTAGTTCACACTCTTGTTCCCTGATACTCTTCCAGTAATACAAAGTTAATTTTACTTACAAAAAAAAAGAGATTTTAGGGGTAAAACAAGAAGTTAGATATTTTTAAAGAAAAGATTTAACTAGTTTAGGAAATAATTAGGGCTTATCTTACTCCGGGGTCAAAGTAGTTATTAACGTCAGTAGTTCTTGTAGAGGGAGAGGAAGTTAAATTGAGCTTTTAATTTTTTCAGGAGACTGGTGGAACCCCTTGCAGGCCTTGATAGTTTTCTCAACCCTTCTATTTATTTTTATTATTCTGTACTGTTTTTTATATACCCTTTGCATCAGTTAGTATCATAGCAATGATCTATAAATGGCAATGCCGAAAGAATAATAACGAAACTAAGAACATACAACAGATGGAGGAACCTGTGGATCAAACATTCAAGAGTCTATAAGAAGACCTTCGAGGTAGATTAGTGAAGAGGCACTCCCGGGGGGGACATGGGTGATGATACTAGCAGTCTTCTAGAAGAGATCAATAAACTAACCCAGCTTTTCAAACAAATAGAAAATATTGTAAGACATGAAAAGTTGGCCAATATCTAATAGAACGAATATCCACTTTTAATCTTGACATCAATCAAACACCAAAACAAATTCTGATGATCAATCATACTAGTAACGAGGTATGAAATAGGGCAGTTGCATGCAAAACATTGCAAGTCAATTGTGAAAGAGAATTCAAGATCATGTTGATCTTCTTGCGTTTCACAGGATGCTTCATGTCGAGAGCTAAATTGCTTCACAGATTGTTATGGAGTGCTCATCAGAGTGAGAATTAGCAGAAGATCAAGTAGTAAAGTATACTCGTATCATACTTCATGGGAAGGTGAAGGCAGAATGGGAATATGGCAAACAATCCCAAGTTTTGTTTACCAAGTTCGATGCAATAAAAGAAAATATTTACGATCTGACAAAGTGAGGAAGAAAATGAAAAAAAAAACCTATAAAAAAAAGAGAGAATTTCAAAACTCTTATAGTTCAAGGAAAAGGTTCCCCAAACCCCAAGAAAAAATATAAAAAGGTTGGAATACTGAACCTCCTCACAAGGCTATAAGGAAGTCACCAAAATTAAGTTTCTTCAGGAGACAAATTCAACTCAACTTCTTCATTGACAAAAGACAATAACAGCAATAGCTCACTTGATCCTTAAGTAACCTAAAACCTAATTATTTCTCAAAACAATTAGAATTCTTTTTTATGAAACGACCAAAAACTTCTAGTTTCAGTCCAGTTAAAAAAAATAACGAGAACAGCACAATTAAATTATTTTAAGCGAGTTCAAATTTTGAGTGATACTTTTTCATCAGAATAACAACTTATACTTTCTACTTCAATGACCATCGGTTGTCATAAACATTGTCCAGTCCCATTTGTAAAAAGGAATGGTACTGCATCGACAAGCTGCGGACGCTTAAAAGGTGCACAAGCACCTTTAAATGGTTCGGATTGAACCAACCTCATCCCATGGCCAAAAATGAATTTAGTTTTTTTATTTTTATTTTTATTTAAAATGGATATTAACCTGAAATTTTGGTTCTAGCTTTTTTTTTTTATAATTAGAATTGAATAAAAAATAACTAAAATATTTTGAATAAAAAATATTCATCAAAATATATTAGGGGTATTGCGGTTATTTTTTATTTAAAATATTTTTTAATCATTTTTATTTAGTTATCTTTATGAAAATAAACCTACACCCCAAAATTCAGATGAATATTTTATCTAAATAAAATGTTAAAGTAATTTTTGGACATTAGCTTGGGCCTTATCAAATCTCAACCATGGGAAGGGTGCTTGCACATCCTTCCACTTCCTTGTAAAAATATTCTATTACATTCTTTTCATTGGTAATTCACTTAGAACTAGAAGAAAAAAACTCCAAAAGTTACCATCACAAATTACACTCACCGACATTTCTGGAAGAGACTTATATGCAAGAGCAAGAACCCGAGATCCCTGACGTGTATATTTCTTGTATGTCTGAACATATGATGGAGGCAAATCAACCAGTCGGTCCTGGATGGTTTCTGGTGCACCCTGCATAACAAATAGAGTTATTCATAGAAAATTAGACATGGAGAAAATTAGACACCAAGAAAGACACATGGATATAAGAGAAAATGGCCTAATTGCCATAGCACAAACTTAGATATTGATCACCATAACTGGAGAGATCTATTACATGATCAGTACCCAAAAAATAAGAAAAATATTCAGATATATAAGATGTTACTAACTTATGTTGCATTGAATCCAAACACGAGTTCAATATCCTGAATTTCAAGAATTGAGAATGTCATATTTATAAGTAAAAAAGTATTTTGGAGTATATATAGTGTAGTTAGCTGCAAGCTGCAAGCACTGCCAGCTACGCTGGCCAACAAAAGAGATTCCATCAAATCTAACAATATGCTCTTTTTCTACCTGAGATATACAAAAAAGAAAACACATCATATATGTATGGCTATTGAGAAAGCAGTTACCCAGAGAAAAATTTTACTATCAATTTTGGTCCACAACACCCTGCCGCGGACGGAGTACTGCGACTTTTGTTAGAGATGAATGGTGAATCCAATCCTGGATGGGGGATCGCTTGTAGGAATGACATAATGCTAATCCATGTTCCACACGGCCAAGGAAGCATCGTTTTTTAATCTCATTATGTAAGCAGCAAAGAGAGAGCGTGCTAGAGTGTCATTCGAAAGAGGGATTGTCATGTATTGCTTTTTATATAAATAATAGAAGTTTTATGATCAGTTTATCAATTTATCAACCCATTTATCCACAAGCACACACAATGCAACTGCACATAGACACGCAGAATCAAGAGTAAGTATTGAAACTTTATATGAAATATCACACATCAAAATCACTTCCTAGAAAATTTACAGGAGAAAACCTCAAGGTGTACCCACAAAAAAGGAACTCCCATGCACTTCATTATGCATTTTGACTATTTTGTTTAGATATACAAAATACATAAACAATACGTAAATTACAGAAATAAACCTTTACGAAAGAAAAATACTCCTCTTGAACACGGACAACAACTGCCATTCGCTTTAGGTGAGAAGCAAAGTGATGTCTCTGTAAAATCTGCACAGCATGACCAGCACCCCTGCAATAAGCATGACACAGGAAAATAATAATCACAGCACGTAACAAATCTTCGAATGATGCTTGACTCAAGAACAAAAAGAATATTATAATTTATGATACAGCAATGATTTTATATCCTTGTCAAAAAAAAATTTGATTTTAACATGCTAAAAAATAATGACGACATGAGAAATCCAGCTAAGACAAAAATCCACATCCTGCTCACTAAAATAAAGGGGCCAATGAAACTCGTAAATAGATTCTTGGATAGGATAAAACGATCACATAACAAGTATCATACAGCACATTACTTGTTTGTTTGAGTGAGCCATATAACATATTCTCCATCTTAGTTGGAATTAAGAAGCACTTAAAGAGCAAAGAGAGCCATCAAGGGCTTCGATGCCCAAAGGCAAAAACTTTATTCACTCTCTAGACGCTGGTAGTTTCAAGCTTTATCACCGCTTCATAACTATTGGCTTAAATATCTTTAGACTATGCTAAAATAAATTAAAAATAAATAAATCAAGTAGTAGAGTTTGTAAACCATGGCTGAGCTACATATGATTAGAAAATGTAAAATCCAGAAAATATTTAATTTTAGAATACTTTAAATTCAAAAATTAAAAACTGAATTGTACTGCACTGTAAAAATATCAAACATCTTTCAGGCCTATCCAATGTTCCATCTCACATTCATATATTTTATGTACATCAAAGACAGCCAGACCAAGAAATACAAGTAAAGAATCGCATGGGCATAATAGAAGAGAAGTATAAAATCATTCAAATAAACAGGATTAGTATTGTTTCAGATATCTATCCATATGATAATCAACCATAAATTCAAGAACATAATGTTACTAAGAGTCATTTATTTCCAATCTGAGCCTTCAGTTTAATCCAAAATACATCCAAATGCTTCAAATCTAATTTTTGAGTCTAACAACCTCGTAGTAAACACCTACCAAATTTGAACAAAGGGCAAATATGTGGTATCTAGATTTGATAAGCATATGTGGAGAGGTTAATGGGGACCATCATCTAGCTCTTCCGAATATTTCAATTGCCACCAAACAGGCAAACACCAAATAAGAAATTCAGAACCAGAACTTTTTTTAAAGTAATCACCTTTTAGGCATGGCTTTCTCATCAGAAGTATAAATCCAGTCAATTCCTTTCAGTGCTGCCTTTTCCAATGGATCACCAACCTAAGCAAAAAAATATGGCCATAAGCCCCAACTCTCCATGGATAATATGCTCGATAATGCGAAAAAGTATTTCAAATTGCAATGATTGTAATTGCAGTAATTGATGGAGCAAGTCATAAAAGTTAGATCACTTTTGCTATATAAGCATACCTGCTTGTTGTCCACAAACACTAAAGCATGGCATGAGGCGAGAATTTCTAATGATCTTGCTGGGACTTTAGATGTATCAGATTCCAGATCCATACTACCAGATAGACCCACAATTCCTTGAAATTCCTGAATGGCCGTAACAAATTTACATGTAAAAGACATGATGTAGACACAAGAGTCTAACTAAATCCATTGAACAGTCATACCATGTCATCCGATGTAAGAGTACCGGTCTTGTCGAAACAGCATATGTCAACCTGCAGATCAAAGATTCTTGTATGACATGACCGAAAGAAGTGTCTTAGGAATAGGTGCCATTCCCAAAGTAAAATCATGAGAAATGCAACATAAACCCCTTTACTTATACTGACCTTTCCAGCAAAGGGAATTCGGAATGGCTCAGTGCAGAATATACCACACCTTGCCAATGCAATTAAGGACGTATTAACAGCTATTGACAACTCCATTGGCAGCTCGGGGGGTATCACAGAAGTGATTATCAAGGAACAACTCAAGAATAACTTGTACTTGCTCCTTGTTGGATCCTCCAAGCCCTTTTCAAGAGAATTGAACTCGTAAGACATGAAATCCTCATTAGACAATTAAGTTCATAATACACAATAATCCAAGTCACAACAGACTTCATAAGGGACATATATATGCGATTTACAAAAGGATTCATATGGTTTGTCAGGCAGGCAATCTCATAGGAACTCCTTAGCAGATGAAACTCCAAAAGCACAAGCTTCACAATACCTTTGTAAGCACATAACCGGCAGCAATGAGAGCAAAGACAACTAAGAAAAGAATGAATAGACCGCTTTCCCAGTTGTTAGCAGTAACCTGAAAAAGGAAAACAAATTGGTTTGCTTTCTATATTCATGGATAACAAGGAGAAACCATATCCCATCATTTATCAATGTCAAATATCAAAAAGAATAAAAATCACTTACCCTCTCTGTTGAAAATAAGATTGTCCGCATGAGTTTGCCTTGACTTGTCTCGAATCCCGTTCGTAGAACAATAGCCAAGCATCCTCCATCAGGAGTTTTCAGTTGAAAGGACTGATCCCAGAGAACCATAAGAAAAGTTAGTGACTCCTGAAATAAACGGATTGACTAATCCATCCATCTATGGACACACCGACACAAGTGAGCGCACGTGAACAAGTACAAATACATATTTATGAAGTTGAAGTGCGTGCGCATGTGTGTGTGTGGGTGGGAGCGACAGTGTTTGTCTGTGTGTGTATGTGTGTGTGTGAGAGAGAGAGAGAGAGATATCTATGTTGGAAGTGCATTTAGGGTATGTCTAAGTAAGAGAGAGGTACTAGGGGAGTCAGGAAATTTGAGTGAGTCCCATGACTTTTTTAGAGAGAGAGAGATTTGGGAAAAGTTTTGAGGATGAAGAAGAGGGAGCACAAGAGAGCCACATGAGATTTTTGGGAATGAAGGGGACAGGGAGTGTGAAAGAATTTAAGGGAGAAAGAGTGTTCAGGGCATAGAAAGAAAGGACAAACAGATAAAATAGAAGAGATTACATGTAGGATATAGGATAGAGAGAAAGTAGAGATAAAATAGAAAACTATATTATCGAAAGTAAATCGCCATGAGTATATATAAAGAGGGCTGAGATAAAATACGAAAATGGATTATCTAAAAAAAAAAAAGATCTGAATATATTCATAAAGGTGGATAAAAAAAAGTACACAGAGAGAGAACATGACAAACGTACACACACATGGTAATTAGTATATAGTATATTTACACAGACGTAGCAATTAGTATATACATGCACAGTATTACATTATTTATCTTCACAATACCTTATCTGGAGTGTGCTGCAAGATCTTTGTCCCGCCAAAGAGAATATGCCCCTTATCTCGCTTTGCTGATAATTTCTCCTCTAATCCTCTGCCCAAAATTGAAACCTACATAAAAAAGCAATTCTTCTGACTTTAGAGATCTAAAAATCTTGCTGCTCTGCCCATTTACTATTTTAACCACAGATAAGAGTTCAATACTCCATATGCCACAATTGACATTTAAACAACAAAGAAAATTTCAACAATGCAGCTGATTTACTTCTTAGTCTCATCAACTTCATAGAAAATAGAGAGACCTTATACCCTCATACCTATTTATCACTCAAAGCACAAAACAGAGCAAAATTTTGGAAATTCTCCAATTGTGCATCACTAGATCTAACTAGCAACTAAGGTTAAGAAAATTCCTTTTTTTTATAACTAAGAGGCTGGGGTTGACATATAACAAAATATATATATATGTATCTCTCCAAGGAGTTTCCTGCGATAAAACAATTTTGTTTAATTCCAGGTTGTTAAGGCCAGACAGAGGCCAAATTGGTGAAGGTGATGGTCCAGTCAGAACAGTCGAAGCGGCCAAATCAGTGAGAGTAGTGGTCCAGTCGGAACAGTCGAAGCGGACCAGTTCAACAGTCATAAATAAAAGAATAGAAAATCGGAAAAATACAAAACATTCGAAATAAAGGAAAATTATGGAAAAACAGCAGAAGAAATCTAGGAAAAAAAAAATTAAGAAAAGTACTAGGAACAAAAACAAAATTATAGCACATGATATGTCCATATCTCATGATGCACCCCAATTAACTCATCAAGCAATAGCAACGAAACTGAACAATTAAAGACAAAACAGCAGGTTGTAAAGTATTAAAGTCATGAACCATTGCTCATACCAATATCTATGTGCACTAAAGAAAACAGAAATTACAACCAAAAAAAAACTCTAAAGTGGGGAACAATTTCCATGGTACACTATTTTCCATAAATGCATTTAACAATTAAACAACTAAAAAAATAGAGAACAAAACAATTTTTTGTATAGAATTAAAAAAACAAAAATACACAAAATTATAAACAGGGAACAATCCCCATGTATGACAACACTCGTAGTGCAACTGTAATATTAAAAGACCAAACAGAATAAGTAATTGAAAATAAAAAACCAAAAAACAAACTCTTATATACAAAACATTGCACACAATCCACAAATATGCAGTTACCCGCAACATTTAAATATGAAAGCCAAAGGAGCAGTAGAATGAAAGCAAGAAACAACCCATTGCAATTACTAGGAAAAAAAACCATTATTTTGTAAAAGCGCTAAAGAACTAAAAATTTCTCAATCTTTCTAATTCCTTTAAATATAAAACAGATAAACCAAAGAACAAATTGAATAAACATACTTGGGGTTGCAAATTTCGCATTGATTCCTTTAAATATAAAAGAAATAAACCAAAGAACAAATTGAATAAACATTCTTGGAGTTGCAAATTTCGCATTGGGTGGCGTGAATATGCTTGGAAAATCACCACAAGTATGTCCAGATATTGGGGTTTTTTTATGTTACAGAGAATGAGAGAGAGATCCCCCTCTAAAAAAGGTGTGTTATAAGCCTAAAAACCCACCCTAATGTCAATTTTCACAAAATGACCCTTATCAAATTATTATAAATGGTTAAAAAATAAGAAAAATGAAAAAAGAGACTTTTCAGGTTTTACTATGCAAGTTCGAGACCAGCCGGATTGGTGTCGAATTGGATTATTGGCTGGTCTAGATAATGGACCAGCCAGTCCACCATTCAGCACCAGTGTGGGGGACATTTTGGTTCGGAGGTTCGAACCAATATTTATAGTTATTTCAAAAAGGGCAAAGGGTACGCTTAAAAAGACATGGTTGGAAGTAGTGAGAAAAAACATAGGGACTTATGGCCTAACTAAGGGTACGGCCCTTAATAGAGCAGAATGGCGGACCAGGGTTCGAGTAGCCAACTCCAATTAGTTAGGAAAAAGCTTCAATGATGATGATGATGATGATGAGGTTTGAACCAAACAAAAGACCCACCCGTTCACCGGTTTGCAGTTCAAACCAGCCAATCTGGTCCAGTCTAAACATCAGTAGTTTAATCATCTACTGGATCATAGAAAGGTGGGTAAGATTCAACATTTTGGAGAAAGCATTTGAGTTTTGTGCAGCAAATGTAGTTAGGTTGATTTTCATACGAAAGGTGGGTAAGATTCAACATTTTGGAGTAAGCATTTGAGTTTTGAGCTGCAAATGTAATTAGGTTGATTTTCATACTGCTTGTATTGCTCAACAGGATTAATTTTCTCCTTTTTGGGAGTGGGAGTGGTGGGAGGAGTTAATCATAAGAGAGTTCGCTTTTATATATTTAATTCTATTTCAATACCTAAACTATATGCAATACTTTAGACATAACAAGTACTTGCTTCCAGTTATAAACATTGATACCACCAGTGGAACATGATGTAGCTTTGTTCATTGAATTTACAGTAGCAAAGAAGCACAGAACTAGATGCTCCCTATAAAAATCTATCGCATACTTCTCATTTTCCTACTGGCATGTTTGACAACAAGAAGTTCTAGCGCTAGAAGCCAGAACTTGTCAAGCGTCATAGCAGTTCCTATTTTGATAACCTGGAACTGGCCATTCTCAAAAATGAGTGTCACCTCCATTCACCCCATGGAAAGGAGAGCTTCCCATTGAACATAAAGGGTACACTCCTCATGGGAAGCTCCTCCAAGGCCATTTTTTATTTTTATTTTTTAAAAGTCAACTGAAGGTGAAAATTTGAAGGTGAATTCCCTTTTATTTGGGTGCATCTATAGAAAGATAAAAAATAATTCAAAAAAATGACCAAAATGCCCCTAATATTTTAGGTGTATTTTGGTCATTTATATTTTTATTTATTTTTAATATTTTTAAAAGTGTGTGGGGTTAAGAAGTATCGATAACCAAATTTTAGCTAAATATGATATGTAGAAAACATAAAATTGAAATTCTCTGACATGCTCAAAATTGGAGCCGGTTTAAACTTCCAAGTTTACCAAAAAAAAGAACTTGTCCTTTTCTCAAAAGAAACTTCCAAGTTTATCAAACACAGGATTTCATAGTCCCTACAATTCCAGACAAGTTATCAAACACAAAATTCTACAGATCTAAAAACAAATCTTACAACTTCTAGACCTTCACAGTTTTCCAGCTCCTAATTGCCAAACATAACCTAGCAAAACCCCATCTTCTCTACTCCAAACATCCCTCCATTCCCATTCCGATCTGCGGAATGAGGAAGAATTGAAAATAAGCCAACACCACCTCCCTATAAATTATGATTCTCGTACCCCTTTAAAGGAAAAGAAAACCAAAAAAAAAAAATCCTTTCAGTATTTAGTCATAATCCTCTCTCTTTTTTCCTTTTATTTTCAGTGAACAAACAAATATAGAGAATATCACTGTCATCATTCCTACTGCTTCCCACTCCTTGGATCATCTTTTGCAAATCATTACCACAAATTGTGACAGGTACCACTCCCTTTTGGAAGGAACGGATAATAGAATAATGTATGGCCAACATATAAACCGCCATTTAGATGGCTATCTTGTGGCCCAGTTCCTTGTATACTAAAGAAATTACCCATGATGCATTAAGGCACTCACCATGCTGATTTCCACTAGTGCATAGTAACGAAGGTTGGTCACCAACCAGGTTCTGCAAGTTAAATCAAATCTCCTTTTCCTGGGATAAATTTTCTGAAGTCATAGACCTCTCTCCACAGCCAATATATATGATAAACACCCTTGGTGAATATACAGCTCATGACATGCAAGCATTCACCAGGCACCATGTGACCAATGCAAAGGGCCTTAGAAAGTTCACAGATGTCTAAATTCAGCTCATTCATGCATCAGCCATCGCCAATAATTGCAAAATGCTGTATAGCTCCAGTGTTATAAGGACCATACCAAGCCACCCAACTGAAACAGTAATGGGGTCATTGCTGGCTGGGTTAGCTGAGCATTAAAAAGACATTTTAAGCCAACAGAGTTTCGTAGCTTCTAGTTTGAAGCATCAAGTATTAAAAGTTAAAGCAGAGAAATGTTGATCCATATCTTATAGTCGAAGCAATAAATTGGATGGTAAAAAGAATCAAAGTTGAAAAGTCTGTTAAAGAAGGTACAGTATGGGTTGCATAAATAATACCCATTTTATAAGAATGAATGCCCAAAATCAAGATAACAGCTTCCCATCAATCCGTGTACCTGAGATTCTAGTCTTCCTCATGCAATAAGAGAGTGGTTGCTTTTGCATGCAACATCCAACAGAACCCATGAAGTAAAAATATAAATAGCCAATGAGAACCACAAATGCAATAGAAATAAACCACATTACCTTCCACTGAGGAGTAGACTCGCCAGTCAGAATCGCTTCATTCACAATAGCACTTCCAGCTAATAATAGCATGTCAGCTGGAACGGCCCTATCCTCTCCATTCTGACCAGAAGAACGTCCAATAGAAACAACATCTCCAGGCAGAAGATCCATCCCTGAGAGCTTGACCCACCTATAAGAAGAAGTTTATAAACAGTCTAATAGACTTTCCCAAAAAAAAAAACATGGTAGGTTAAGTAACAAATGAATGACACACAGACACATACTTTCCGCAGCGATGCACCATCAGAGATTGACCATCAACTCTGACTCGTCTAAGCTCCGTAAGAGTTTTTAACCGACTCTTCACCATTGTTGACTCAAACACAAAAAGCATGAATAGGGTAAACAAGCTGTAATACCAATATTCATCCAAACACCACAGCACAACAGAGAAAACCTGACATAGCAAATATTTAAACAAAAATAAAGATATAAACATAAGAAGATAGTTTAAAGAACAAATGCTTCCTGCAGATTGCAAACCTGGTAAGCAAGAGAAGAAAAAAGTAATGCAATGATTACTAACCTGGAACACAAAAAAGGGCTCCACACAATGTTCTTTCATCAGATTCCAGAATGTAGGTTGGGGATACTCAAAACTGCAAAATCAATTACAACTTTAGTTTAACTATGAAAATATCACAACTCACATTCCACAGCTCTCAAACCATTATGATGAGCGTTGTCCAATTAAAAAGTATCTCCCAAATGCTAGATGATACAACAGTAGATAATCAATATTAGAGAACTCAAATATAAAACATACATGATGGGGCTTTATGTGGCGAACAAGATAGAACTTCAGAACTAATATGTAGATTGCATTTTTGTAAGTCAAACTATATTTAAATTGCTTAGCAAAAAGGATAGCATGGATAAAGATAGAGATGAAAGAATTGACTCTGATGTGCACCAACCATCACATATAAGTACAAAACTACAGACATGGCAAATTTATGGACATAAAATCAAACACTTTTTTTTTTCAGTCAACTTCCTTTTTAAAAAAAATATATAAATAAATAAATTGATTAATTTATGGTATTGTCTACAAAGAAACCATTTATCTTTTGTACATGGAGGTCACAATCATTCCCACTCATTAGATATCAAACTGGATGGCTTAAGGTGAGTCAAGAAGTCAGATTTTTTTTTGGAACTTTTGTGTCTATTCAATGACACTCTTACAACCCATCCATTTGGAAATTTAAGGGACAAAAATGATTGTGACCTCCATGTACAAAAGATAAATGGTTTCTTTGTAGATAATCCCTTAATTTATGGGAAATTTATCATACCACACCTCAGAGATGAACTATTTAGCATCTCGAATCCATTCTTTTCAAAAAGTCCATCAAAGGACAGATATCATAATTGGTCAGAAATTGTCGGAGGGGCACTTTCCAATTTTGCCCTTTGTCAAAACCAAAGTGGTTTTTCAGAAACCACTAATCCGTCAAGGAAAAAAAAATGAAACAGTGAACTGTGATTGTTCTATAGATCGTAAACTTCCATCCTTCCCTGGTAAACATTTGACAGAGAAGTTTTCTCAAAAAATAATCCACAAGGAACCTCATTCAGATTTCCGAAAGTTATTCTTCACTGATCCAAAAGAATCAAACAATAATGTTGATTCCTTGTTCAAACATTCCGAACCTGATAATTTCCAGATAGATTTCTTCAACTTTTAGCCTACAAGTCACCTGCAGCACACAGCCATAAGAGGAAAAAAATATTGCCACAATGGTGCATCCTAGCCTTACAAGAGGCACTCTAATACACTCATTACAAAAGCCATACTTCCTATTCATCTCTCATTTTTCCTCTCATCCATTTCTCACCATTTTCCTCCTAAATTGTTGAGCACAGTGGTAAAATCAAGCAAGACCTAATATTATGTTCTCCCCCATTTCCAAGTTTGTGTTGGGCATATAACTGATTTTAGTGAGTTTGTTCCATAATCTCTCGTTTGGTTTGTTTTTTGTTCTAGTTCTTGTTTTGATGATGAATATGTGTTTAACAGTCCTTGCATGTTAACTATTTGATGATAACCGTTAGAGTGATATAAGGGCACACTTTATTTTGAAATAGTAGCCATCATTCATAAATGATTGAAATTAAAGCCTAGGATTTACAATGGCAACTAGAAAGAACTAGTGATGATTGAAAAGCTTGATGGGTTTAATTTCTCTCTTTGGAAAAGTAAGATGTTCTTCTTACTTCATGAAATGGAATTGCAATATGTAATCATTGAAACGAAACTAGTTGAACCGCTGATGATTCAACTCTTAAGGAAAGGAAAAGGATTTCAAACTGGAAAAATTGATACTTTTACATGTAGAGGTGCTATTTTCAATTGCTTGAGTGATAGATTGCATAAGATATTTGAATGCAATGACAGTGCTAAAGATTTAGGGACTGCTATTGAAAAGAGACACACCAAGGATAATCATGCGACTAAATGTGTGTCGTCTGAGAGATGTAATAAGCAAAAGATGAGGGAAGACCAATCAGTGCTAATATATTTTGATATATCTAGTTTTGGTTAACCTATAAGTGAACAGCTACAAATTATGAAGACAAATAGAAAATCTTCCTATTTCAAGAAAAACGTATATCATATTGGTATAATCCATATTGTAGATGACCTTAGAGGAGACCTAAGGATGGAAGAAAATGTTAGAGATAGGGAGAAGAGTGAGAAAGTCAAGAATCAAACTCATGTAGCAATGGACATGAGGAACAAAAAGAAATTTTGTAATAAGAAGATTGAGAAGCCTTTCCATCATCAAACTCAAGTTTAAGAAATGTTTTCAAAAAAAGATTGTAATAAATTTGTTCATATTGCCAAATATTGTAGGGAACCCAAGAGAAAGGATGTTGGACAAAGAAGTAGCTTCAAGGATTTTGCTTTTATGGTTGATGAATCATTGATGGTGAGCTCTCCAGATGAATTGTGAGTGGACTGCGAAGCTACTAGACAAATCACCAACACCAAGAATAACATGATAGGCTTCAAAGAGAAGGGTGATGGAGCAGGAAAGCTTTATACAAGCAACTTGTCTAGAATCAACATTCTAGGAAATAGCACCATTAAGCTACCACTCCCAACAGGTGGCATGTTGACTCCTAATGATGAATTATAGGCCCCAACTATGAGAAGGAACTCAGTTTCTTTGTTAAGGATCAATGAGGGCTTATTTAAAGGATGGAAAAATGATTATCAAGAATAATGGTGCTTTTATTGTAAAGGCCACTATGATTGGCAATATATACAAACTTGATATCAATAATCGAATCAAAAAGGTCATTTGCTTATGATGAGAGTTTTAATTATCATAAAAAAGCCTCGTTCATATTGGTTGGGAAACATTAAATGCATTAGTGAAATAAAATATTATACCTTATCAAGAAAAATAAAATTTAAAATGTGAAAAAGCTTCTTAAAAGGGAAAATGCATAGAAAATCATTTCCTAAGAGTAAATGAGCATAAATCTCAATTGAAATTATCAGTGTTTAAAATGCAGGATGCAGATCCGATGCAGTGGGGGGGCCAATGGAGCTCGATGCGGTCTAGATGCAGGTGCATCACCCAGATGCAGTCAATACAAAAATATTTCTAAAAAAATCTCAAAAACTAGGGAATGCATAGGAAAAAATATAGAGGTGATTCATGTGATAGTAGGTATTTAATTTATTCATTAACTCCAAAAGTATCAGCTGCAGAGATTCTGTAGCCACTATCACCTGATAGATCATAGAATATATTAGAAAGTAGAAACTTGAAACTTAAAACTAACTTCATAAAATATTCAACAACAATAATCACAAATTTGCAACTACAAACTTTAAAGTTACAAACTAATAGTCTAAGAAGATTAAAGAGTTCAAAAGTCAAGACAAATCATCATCATTTCTCAAGTCTTGAAACTCTAAATCTTATATCTTAATCACACAAGTTATCTAAAGAGTCTCCATGTGCATCATCATCATCATTATCATCCTCGGCGGCCTCCACATATTGTTCTTCTTCCTTGGTCTCCTCTAAGCCAGCCTCCTCCTCCTCCTCGACCTCTGGAGTTGACGTGCGACTGGACCCATCTCTACTCTTTTGTGATCTAGTGTTAAGTCGTCCTTCTTCATTAGCGCCTATGGCTAGCTCGACATCAAGCCAAGTAAAATCCTCACCCTCGAACACATTCTCTACTTGTGGACCCATGGTCCATTCATTTGTGCAATAACCATCAGGTTCATATGATCGAATTTAGTTGAGATCCATGTGCTTTTGATACCTCTCCTTAAAGTCGCTCGTCATATCGCACATAAACCAAATCATTCAACTTCTTCTACTCCAATCTATTTCTTGTTTTGGCATGAAGTTGTGATATTAAACAAGGAAACAAGCAAAAGTAACAAATGTTATTGTCTTGTTTCTACTTTTACACTTCTTAGATAAGTTAGATTTTAGAAAATTGAAAATTGAAATCCAAGGAATAAGGATTAAGGACTTACATGCTATAAAATGCACTCTAATTGCATTTGCAACCAGATGAGCAGCATGTGAAACTCAACACTCGAATGGTGAGACATTGTAGATTTGGTGTCTCGCTTCCATATAATGCCCACCATGCAGCTGTATCACATTCTATAATTTAGATAAATATTAATTAACTTGTATAGCAAACAAAATAGAAAGGGCACTTTTGGCCTTACCAGGATCTGTAGTGTCCGTGTTTCGAGTAGCAATCTCTCTCCCAAAGTTTCCCAATGCTAACTTGAACTTGATCAATTCTTGGCTCCGGATTTCATCTTGGATATCTTTGTCAAGGACCAACCTCTCAAGCACATCTAAGAACCCACCATTTATTACACGATCAAACTCAATATCTGGGTGCTCGTAGTGAAGAGATGGATTTAGAAAGTAACCAACTGAATGGAGGTGCCTGTGAAGCTGGTTATCTCATCTCCTATCAATAATTCCAAGTATAGCCTTGCATATCTTTTCATCATCTTTTAAAACATTTTTTTTTTACTCCTCTTTCCCTAGTCATTGCCTCATGTATGTAGCCCATGGCAGGCTTTGCTTGACCATTGATCGAAGCACTCTCACTAACGGGCTAGCCACCTCCAATGCATAATATACATGATCCCAAAAAGATGTATTGAGAATAATTTACTCAGCCATTCTCCCATCATGATGCTTTGACCATTTACTTTTACGCCATTAGTCCGAAGCAAACGTGGTCCTCAAGGCATTTCTTTGCTTGCATAGGTTTTGAAGAGTGAGAAATGATGTGGCAAATCTAATGACACGGGGTCTCACTATATCTCTCTTCTTTGTAAAACTCCTCCTCATGTTAAGGACAATGGTGTGATTATAAATAAATCCAACAACAAACATAGCTTTTAAAATTACCCCACTAAATATAGATGTCATACCCATTCCTTAAACATGAGATTAATACAATGAATTGCGCAAGGAGTCCAAAACATATGCCTCCTCCTCAAAATCAAAAGGCGCCCAGGTGCAGTGTAATTGGCACCAGTGTCAATGACAATTTGTACCACATGATTCTCTCCAACAAATTTTACAATCTCATTCATCAAGTCACATAAGTATGTAGCATCGTGTGACTTATCTGATGCATCAATAGACTTAATAAAACAAGTACTTGTAGGCCAAAAAATTAATAAATTCCCTTGACTTCCCATTAGACCATCCATCACACATAATAGTTGCCACATACTTCTCCCACCCTTCTCTATGAGAAATCAAAATTTTATTAACATCGGATACAACATCCTTCAATAAGGGCTTCCTAATCTCATGTAATGTAGGATGATTAAGTCCTAGGCTAAATTGCCCAATTACCTAGACCATACATGCAAAACCCTCGAGGGTTATAGTATTTAAAGGAATACCGGCCATGTAAAACCACTTTGCAATATACTTACATACCTTCTTCCTCTCTTCTTTCTTGTATCAATTTTCACTTGTGGTTTGTTTTGTTTTTTTCCTCCTCTCCTTAACCACAATTTCAGGGCTAGTGGTGAAAAATGTATCCATTGGCCCGTTAGAGAGAGGTGTTATTTTTCCAACACTACCACCCATATTTATAACCCTAACCCTTTGCCTCATACCAACTTCTGATATATCCTTATCATCATCAAATTTTCGTTTCATTCTTCTTTTCTTTGTGTTTTTGCAAGCTATCCATGTATTCTATAATCTCCTTTTTAGTATCTTCGGTAGCTTGTGGGCATGCTCTTACATTTCTAGAAATACCCGCTAAGTGTTCTTTTTATCGAAAAATACCCCCCATATAAGTGTATTTCCACAAAGAGCAAAAACAACACAATTTCAATCTTTCGAATTTTTTAGTTTTACATATTTCCAAGCCGTATCCTTGTTACTAGAAGATTGTGAAGAAGACATTGCCCCAAAAAAAAGGTATTGGTGTACTAGGAAATAAAACCTTACCGATTACTTGAAGAAAATATCAACTTCTTCTCAGCCCTTGAAACACCAAAATAAACCAATCAAGAACAAAAGATCATCGAAGATTTTCAAAAAAAAAAATTCCGCCACTTTTTTTTGGCTAGTTTTTATGTCCTAAATGCCACAAGTTGGCTGATTTTGGTGGTTTGGGGGGGTATGAGTTTAATAACCCCCTAAACCCTTTCCCCCCCTTTTTGGAGATCAAAAAGACATAAAAACCCCTTTTTGAGGGGGGGGTTTCGTCTCACATGTAGGGGCGCATAGGCGCCCTATGCAGCTATGCGGCCATGCTGATGCATATGCGGTGGGACGCAGCGCATATGCGGGGGCATCCCACCAAAGTGCATATGCGTTGTTTAGCAATGCAGTTGCCAGTGCATCCAGCATATATAGTGATGTGGCCGCATTTTAAAACAATGAAAATTATTCATACCAATAGGTTGGTCAATTAAAACCTAAAAGCCTAAGTGGAAGTGAATATTTTAATAATGATTATTCTAGGTAAATTATACTTATTTAATAACCCATAAGTTGAGGCATTAGATAAATTTAAGAAGTACAAATTAGAGGTTGAAAATCAATTAAAATCCTTGGGAGTGAGGAGAATATACATCAAATGAGTTCAAGGAGTTTTGTAACGACAATGGACTGGTAACGCATTATCCTTTACCTTGAAAGAATAGGACCTTCATTGACATGGTTAATTGTATGATACAAGAAGTGGTGTAGAGTATTACCTTGGGGTGAAGCTAATCATGGCAATAACCTATATAGTGAATAGGGTCGCTTCCAAATCAAGTAGTATAACACTCTTTGAGTACTAGTTTGGTAAGAAACACACCAGTCCATGTTAGAGGATGAGGTTCTATGGCACATGTTCATAATCCTCCGAAAGAGATATAAACTAAAAGCCAAAAAAGTCAGGTTCATATTTGTTGAGTACTCTTGATTCTAAAGGATATAAATTTTATAATGATGCAACTAAAGAAATTATCTAGTGGATAAGCTCATTTCTTTGAAACATTTAAAATATCAAAGGTCAAACAACCTAGAAGAAAGTAAGCAAGTAGAATCACAAAGACCAAACGCAGCTGCTATCGGAAGCTCTCCTAGAATTGATACTTATCCTAAACTTAATGAACCTAGAAGAAGTACGAGGGAGATTTAAAGGCCTAGTTATTTGGATGATTGTTTACTATAACAAATTAAATGAAGCGCCCCATAACTTTAAAGAAGCTATTAGCTTACATGAAGTATATAATTTAATGGTTGCTATGAGGGCTGAATAATCATCATCATCTTAATCATCATCGGAGACTTATCCCAACTATTTAGGGCTGGCTATATGAACCATGTTACGTCAGATAACATTAGATCAAGATTCACGATAGCGATATGGCAAAAGTTTTCCATTGGCTGCCAACCTAACACTACACTCCTTCTCATCTATGCTTAGGAGCAGCAAGGCTATGAGGGCTAAATATGAGTACTTAATAAGCAATAATATACTGGTCTTAGCACAAATAGGAAGGCAATTGGTTGTAAATGGGTATAATCTAAGAAGCTTAATCCCAATGGAAGTGTTGACAGGTATAAAGCCAGATAGGTGGTTAAGGGGTTTAGTCAAAAAGAAAGTATTAACTATCAAAAAATATTTTCAACCGTAGCTAGGAAATCCTCTATACAAATAATACTAGCAATCAAGATTTCAAAAAACCCTAGGCGGCCGGCATGACGCCAAGCGCCCAGTGCCTAGGCGGGTGCCCAAAACCTTGGGCACCATGTAGTACAAGTTCTCTCTCTCTCTCTC